GATTCAATGTGTACTTTCTTTTAGGCCTTTTGCTCAGATGTTAAGGTAAGGGTTTTGTAGAAGGCAGAACAATTATGTTAATGCTTTGGAGTAAGTACCGTTACAGAATTAGGTACAAGAGGCTCTGGGGTATCATAGGAGGCCAGAGCAGTTGCTAAGAGTGTGGACTCTATAGCTAGACTACTGGAGTGTTCATATCCTGGCCCTGCCACTTAACAGCTGTGTGGCCTTGGTCAAGTCCTTTAACCTCCCTGGGCCTTTGTTTCTCAACTGTAAGATGGGGAGAATAATGGTTTTTACCTTGCGAGATTGTCATGAGAACTAAATAACTTGGTATACATAAAGTGTAAAGAGCAAGGAAAAGCAGGATCCTATGCCACAAAGAGAACAGGCAGTTTCTGTAGGTCATAGAAGGGTAAGAAGAGCCCAGTGGGTTTGGGTATTCCAAGTGGGACCATGTGGCAGTAGTATTTTGTGTGCCAGATTCTCTGCTGGTACAGAGTTGGGCCCAAGCTGAAAGAGATAACGGACTATGTCCTTAGTCTGGCCTATAAAATGCAAGAAATGAAAACATTTCATTACAATAATAATATAGCATAATAGGAAATTTACGGGTAGTCTCTATCTACCTAAGGGAGAAATGGAGGGAGGGCCTTTAAGTCCAAGATCCTGATCACAGTTGAACTAGCCAAGTTCGTACTAGTTTCTGAATAGTTTTACCTGAGAATGTCAACATTCTTATTAGGCTGCCCTGTCTCTTCATTTGTCATTCCTCCCTCCCTCCCCAACACTCAGCTGTCCCCCATTTCTGTCCCTCCTCCCCTTTGTTTTTTATACTTTATATTTCTGGAAGTAGCTGTGATAATTCAGTTACTTTGGTAAGAAGATGCAATCTTCCCATTAGGTGATTATCTCACATGGCTTCATTTCACTTCTCAGTCAGTTCTGAAATTTACTTTTCTCAGACTGGAAATTTAGTTTTATGTTGCTGAATGTCTACATGCAAAATGTAACTATATATATATTTATGCAGCTACAGTCACGAAAGACTGTTACCAAGAGAATGCCTGGATAAGAGTGAAGTAAGGGACGTGGGAGGGAGAGGAAGGAGTAAAGTTACACAGAAATCTGAGCTGAGTAAATCTGCTGAAACTGAACATAAAAATAAAAACTTCGCTTTGTGCCCCATAACAGACGCTTTCAGTTAAAAGCACGCACATATCCTTTATTTTCAGCAAGTTGTGAGAGAAGAGGGTGGTGAGAGTTGTGTGGTGGGCGATGAAGGAAAAGGCTGATGGGCCAAGTCTGTGCTGTTAACTTGCAGCCCCATCCCTTACCATTGTGCACTCATTTTCTTAACGGTCTAAGGGAAATAAGGAAATTACATTCACACTGGTCTTTTGAATTGTAGAGTTGCATGTGATTCTCAGTTTCTTTGAATGGTATTAAGAGCAAATAGCCCCATGACATTTGGCTCCTTACTTAAGCTATTAAGCCTCACTTTTGGAACCAGTTGATCCAACTTGTTGATCATACTGCTTTACCTTCAGGCTTCTAGAAGGGCAAGTTGAGTGGGGAGAGGTCTTTGTTGTTGTTTTATTGACACTTGGAAACTTCCAGGTAGTACCTGTTAAGAATTAGCTAGATGTGTCACAGATGAAATGGTCATAAAAAGGAAAAGAAGGCAGGTATAAGGAGACTAGGGAAAAGTAGATAGGCAAGGAGAAATGAAGTGTGGATAAATAGAGTTGACCAAAGTCCACAGAGTGACCTGTGGTTCTAGTCCATCCACTTCAAGCATAATACACAGTATGTTGCTCTTGGTGCTGGTACTTACTGGGAAAGCTAGTGTTGGCTGATGGTAGGCAAATTAAAAAAAAAAAAAAAGATGAAAATCCAAGTTTTATGGGAGAAGTTTAGGAATGGAAAGACCAACTGTTTTAAAATAGAAGTCATTAAATGTAGATGTGGTCAGCAGGAATTCATGCTGCTGGACTTAACACGCTTTTCAAGTTTTGGCCCGTAGGTAATTTCTTTCATATTTTTGACAGTTCCCATCTCCTTTTGGGGAGGGATTTCTAGTTTGATTGATGACCTCAGTTCAGTTATTTATTTAGTGTCCTTCAGACAGTTGGAAATTTATTGAGTATTTCAACCACTAATGACTTGATTTTTGTTAAAAAAAAAAAAAGGGGGGGGCTGCAAACTACTATCTTTAAGGAAACATGCACATCTACTTTTTCCAGTTGGGTTGAAGCAGGCCCCAACTTGCTCAGAGGCAGCCATTATTATTTCATTAAAACAATAAAAACAATTCAGTGACATTATGAAATGAGTTATCTAAAATACTGTTCTTTTGTGTTGTGTTTGTTTTTTTCTTTAAATTTTTTTATTGTTAATCACCATACATTACATCATTAGTTTTTGATGTAGTGTTCCATGATTCATTGTTTCTGCATAATACCCAGTGCTCCACGCAGAACGTGCCCTTTAATACCCATCACCAGGCTAACCCATCCCCCCACCCCCTCCCCTCTAGAACCCTCAGTTTGTTTTTCAGAGTCCATCGTCTCTCATGATTCGTCTCCCCCTCCGATTTACTCCCCTTCATTCTTCCCCTCCTGCTATCATCTTCTTTTTTTTCTTTTCTTAACATATATTGCATTATTTGTTTCAGAGGTACAGATCTGTGATTCAACAGTCTTACAGAATTCACAGCGCTCACCATAGCACATACCCTCCCCAATGTCTATCACCCAGCCACTCCATCCCTCCCACCGCCCACCACTCCAGCAACCCTCAGTTTGTTTCCTGAGATTAAGAATTCCTCATATCAGTGAGGTCATATGATACATGTCTTTCTCTGATTGACTTATTTCGCTCAGCATAACACCCTCCAGGTCCATCCATGTCGTTGCAAATGGCAAGATCTCATTCCTTTTGATGGCTGCATAATATTCCATTGTGTATATATACCACATCTTCTTTATCCATTCATCTGTCGATGGACATCTTGGCTCTTTCCACAGTGTGGCTATTGTGGACCGTGTTTGATTGTTTTATATTTCTTTACATAACGAATCTAAATAAGGCCAGAAGCAATAGGTGATTATTCCATCATCTTCCTATGGTTGGACACACAAATTTTCCACATTTGTCCATTATGGATTTTCAGGGCCTTTCGGGTTCAGTTAGCTCGTTCAGGACTTACCTGGGGAACATTGGCCTATCTTGGGAGGATATAGGCAAGTCACTTCTAAGGGGCCTCGTGCACCATGCTGTTTGCTATAGGGATGATTTGTTCAGGATTGTACTGCTCTGGCAAGGCATTTTAGTTAAAATTCATTTGTTCATTCATTTATCAGGGTGCTCCTGCTGTGTGCCGAGTGCCAAGCTGGCCTGTGGGAATATAGAGGTGAATACAATATGGACCCCCGCCCCCGCCGGGGATTCTGTGGGGAAGGCAGACATTCACATACAATATAATGTGTTCACAGTATGTGATCAGTGACAGACTTGATGGTGTGACTGCAGTGCGTAGGGGTTCACGGTGGGGAATGACTAATACTACCTGAGAGATTTGGCAGAGACTTCACAGAGGAGATGATATCTGAGCAGCATTTTTAGGGAAGGTTAAGTAGGCATTGACCAAGATGCAGAGGCATTCCAAACATACCAAGCATGAGCCTCGAGTCATGAAAGGGCACGGTGTATTTGTGGAACAATGAGAAATTCAGACTTGCTGCATGTAGTAGGGAGTAGGAGAAGAGCAAGATGGAGCAAGACTGTGAGTGCCCCAGGCAACTTGCCACACGGTTAAGATGTTTTGTAGTCTCTAGGAAGCAAACAGAGTTCTTAGAGAGGTGACATGATGAGATTTGTGGGGTCCTGTTCTATTTTTTTTACAAGGTGAGCATTGTTGGTGTTGTGGGAGAAAGATAGGAATAGGAAAAATCTGGAGTAGGTTCAGAGACTGGTAGAATTGGGGAAAGGAATTGTGAGCATTTCAATCAAAGCAATGGCAGCAGGGACAGAGGAAGGGAAGAATCTGAGGAATGTGAGGCGAAGGCAGCACTGGTTTACTAGTCACTACCTTGTTGAGAAAAGGAGGAGGCCACAGGAGTGCCCAGGTTTTCACGTCTCTCCTGTTACAGGGTGGGTGATGGATGTCATTCATGGAGAGGGACTGCAAGGGGCGTGCGGCTTTGGAGGATATGATAAATTCACTTTATAGATGTTAGGGTGCTTTAAGACATCCAGGTAGGTAACTCTTGGAGGTTAGTGTGGCAGTAGATTTACATGTTTAAAAGCATGGCGCCCCAGTGGCTGCAGTCCATTAGGCTGAGGGTGGAGTATAATTTGAATAAAGGGACAAGGGCAGAATCTGGGGCAGGGAGTGCATGATGGTAGGAGGGAGATGGAAAAAGCCGTGAAAATAGGAAGAAGACTACTAGGGAGTAGTGACCTGTGAACAAGAGACAGGAGAGGTTCCAGAGCAGATGAACAGGGTCAGACGGTTCAAAGAGTTTAAAGAGAAGATGGATTAATTAAATGCATGGGGCTGATATGGTGCAATTCTGGCTCTGAGTGAAAGCTGGTAAAGTGAAGCATATGCCAAGCAATTCACTTTACCATGAGTAGGATTGAGAGAAAGATTAGTTTGGATGGTTGTTGGGGTTATGAGAGAGGCTTACAGCCCGTGTGTGGAGGTTACCTTTAAATAAGAGAAGCATACTTCTTTTTCTGAGATGAAGGTGAGGAGAAGAGGAGAATGGTGTTTTTTTGTTAAATAAATCAAAAATAGGAATATTCAGCAAGCTTGTGCTTTTCTGGGTGAGTAGGAGGTGAAGTTGGGGCAGAGTAATCATAGTTGAATTTGATTGAGCCCTTATTGGCATTGGGCTCTGTGCTTGTGTACTTTATAAACGTTAATGGTCTTTGGTTTTTCATCTTCTACCCCTCAGAGATGAAAGGGGGTTCAGGGAAATTATAAAACTTACCCAGAGTCACATACTTGTTAAGTGTTGGATCCTAGTTTGGGGGCTCACTTGGTCTGATTCCATCATCCTTTAACCAAAGGAAGGAGAAGGGAGTGTGAGAGAGAGATGTTAGGATTTGATGCAGCAGGCAGCCTTGGAGAGAGTAGATGAGGGTTTCCAGACACCTATGGAGAAGGGAAGAGAGGAATTGCTAACTTGTAGAATTTCAAATTCGGTCTCCCATCCCTCTATGGAATGACTTGAAAATAGGGCTGGCTGATACTGGTAAAATAGATTAAAATGCATGTTCTTTCATATACCTCTGCAGCATAATCTGTTGTTAAATTTTAAATTGTGGCAGACTTTATAGGCTTTAGCTGAGCACTATAACCCATCTGACCAAATAAGATTGGAATTTGACAGAAAAGCAAAATGACACCATTAGTTTAGCATACTTCAGAGCCAGAATTCCAAAGAAAGCAGTATGTAGACCAATAGCAAAAGTACAACCAAAAATCTCTTACCTGGCAAGTTTTGCTGTGTGATTTCTGGGTAGCTTCACGACTCCGATCATATTAACATATTATGTTAAAAATTAGTATTGATACTCATTTACATTTATTGTCCCAAGATTATTGGAATTTAATTGCATTGAACTTCTGGCATTTGCATCACCTTAAAACTAAATAAACTTCTGCCTTAAAAAAAACAAAACAGTGTAGACCTTTTTTTCAGCAGCTTGGAAGAGCTTAGAGGGAAGCAGTCATCTGTCTTGACACTTGACTTTCCTAGCTTCAGCTTCTTTTTTCTTCATTTATGTGGCAATTTATTGAGCGCCTACTCTGTGCACTGTTCTACGAAGTGGGGATATGGTGGTGGACAAGACAAAGCTTATAGTCAAGTGAATGGACTATCCATGAGTAATATATTGTATGTCAAGTTGTGAAATGCAGTCACCTAAAAAGTCGAGTAAGGAGATGGAATATGAGAGTGGTGGTTTTGTAGGTAGTGTGGCCAGATGTCTCATTTGAGCAGGCTTGATTAGGGAGAGAGATTAAGTCACCCAAGAAACAAGGCAAGAGAGTACCAGGGACATGGCAGGATCCTACGGGCGTGGTCCAAGAGCTGAAAGAAGGCTGATGTGCTTGGAGGCCAGGGAGTGAGTTCAGGAAGGAGCCAAGGCTGCTGTACAGAGGGCCTTGCAGGCTGTCCTGAAGACTTTGCATATAGCTGTGATTTATATGTTCACAGAACTAATGCAGGTTTGATGAAGTGATTAAAACCATTAGGTTTGGCAATTGTTATATTTATACTCTTGTGTTATTTTTTACTTTATAGGATGGAACAAAATTCATCTGTATTGGGGCTCTATATTCTGAGCTTTTGGCTGTCAGCAGTAAAGGGGAACTTTATCAGTGGAAGTGGAGTGAATCTGAGCCTTACAGAAATGCACAGGTATGTTCTATTAAACTCGCACTGAATAGCTGTACATATTGACACGTAAAATGGTAATCGTGTTTCTTATGCTTTTAAAGAATCCTTCACTGCATCATCCACGAGCAACATTTTTGGGGCTAACCAATGAAAAGATAGTCCTGCTGTCTGCAAATAGCATAAGAGCGACTGTAGCTACAGAAAATAACAAGGTACAGAATACTGTGCATTGATTGAGAAACATTTCATGCCTAAATTCTTGGTTTTCTTCCTCTCCCTGCCCCTTTTCCATCTTTTCATTTTCTGTCTTTCTAACTAGATCCACAAACACAAAGCATCTCAAACCTAAGAGAGTAATCCAGTGTATAATCTTTTTGTTGCTGGTTTATCCCTGTATTATAATCCAGCTTTTAGAGGGGGCTTTTTCCTTTAAGGGAAGGAAACAGTATTCAAGATAAGGGCTGACAAAAGAGGAGCTATTGAAGAGCCGGAAGAGATGGACTGGGAAAGTATGGGGTATTATACCTCGGGTTATCAGTTTGGCTTTTGAGTGACTAAATTGTTTGGAAAATTGTTGAAGCAGATGTTTAATTTTGATTAATTTCTTACAGATGGCTTTAGACATTCATTTCAACCATAACTGCTACTTTGTGTGAAGAAAATATTTTAGGTTCTACTCTTAAGAATCTTTTTTTTTTTTTTAAGATTTTATTTATTTCGCAGAGAGAGACAACAGCGAGAGAGGGAACACAAGCAGGGGGAGCGGGAGAGGGAGAAGCAGGCTTCTTGCTGAGCAGGGAGCCCGATGTGGGGCTTGATCCCAGGACCCTGGGATCATGACCTGAGCCGAAGGCAGACGTTTATCCACCCAGGCGCCCCAAGAATCTTTCCTAAATTACTTATTTTTCTGACATTTAACTCAAAGCATTTTAGAATTCCAGTCCATAGAGTATGTATGCCTTTTCCTAGTTTTGGCCACAATCCTTTTAAAAGATTACTTGTATTTTATTTATTTAAGCCCTTACTATTTTACTCTTTAGGTTGCCACATGGGTGGATGAAACTTTAAGTTCTGTGGCTTCTAAATTAGAGCACACTGCACAGACTTACTCAGAACTTCAAGGTGAACGGATTGTGTCTTTACATTGCTGTGCCCTTTACACCTGTGCCCAGCTAGAGAACAGTTTATATTGGTGGTGAGTATCACAGGGAGGGGCAATTCCTTATCAGTGAATACTTTTAGGTGCATAGATAGGTTATTTCAACATGAGAAGGTTGGTTAAAGGATAATGCTTTAAAGGGAGGGAAATTTCACTTTGGAGTAAAGTAATATTAAAAAAAAAAAAACCTTAAAAGAAAGAAAGCCTTATACGAGTAACGCATACTTAGTAGTGACTACAATTGTGGAATTTTACAAAAGTATAAAGTAGAAACAGACATCACCTACCATCCTACAACCTAAAGATAACTGCTGTTAGCATTTGGGAGTATTTAAATCTTACTTTCCTATACGTAAATGTGTACTTTGCTTTTACATAATTGGAAGCATAGGCTATAGGGTATTTTTTCATACTTTTTTTCATTCAACAGTATTGCTTAAAATACAATTTTAAAGGTATTTCATTGGATGAATATTCTATGCCTTCCTTAATCTTTTACTGTTAGGGATTTTAAATGTATTTTCTATTGTGTTTTAAGGAGTTATTAGTAAATTTGCATTGGCAGAAATATAGGGGAATCTACTAATGAGATATAATTATTTGGAAGAGAATTTTAGGTGATCAATTTTCTATAAATTTTAATCCCTAAAGGCTTAATAAAAACGGATCCAGTTATGTATTAAACCTATGATCAAGTTATGATTAAGAAGTTGTACATAGTAATACTATTCTGAAGCAAAAATATTATAATGTGTGTAATTTCAGATTACTTTAATAGACTTCTTTGCTGCTTGCTTGACCAATTTATACTTTTTCTTTTCAGGGGTGTAGTCCCTTTTAGTCAAAGGAAAAAAATGTTAGAGAAAGCTAGAGCAAAAAATAAAAAGCCCAAATCTAGTGCTGGTATTTCTTCAATGCCGAACATCACTGTTGGTACCCAGGTAAGTGATTAGAATGAAACCTGTCCTAAGGGCCATTGTTTCTCTTCCAAATCGCTTTCTTCCCCTGTAAGCAGTTTTACAAATGAATGTCATTCGGAGGATCAGGTTCCAGTAGCATGTATGTCCTCTTTATTTAGTAGTTGAGTAACAGAGATTTCTGCCCCAGTGTCAGTAGGTTTCCCTATGGGGCAGGGTTTCCAGATTTTCCTAATTTTAAGAATCACTTGGTACTTAAATGCAGAACCTGGAGCTCCTTACCTGAAACGTTCCTTCAGTTTGTCTGGGGTTATGGCCCAAGCATCACAGTGTTTAAGACACACTGCAGGTGAGAAACAGCCAGGCAGTTTGAAAGATACTGCTCTTGGGGATGCTGTCAGCATAAGGCAGGAGGCTTTATCAGATCCCTGTTTCTACCAGTTTCTGTTTTTTTGACTCTGAGATGGTTTTATGCTCCTATCTTATAAATAGGTAATTTTTCTGATATCTCAGTGGATCAAAGTGTGGTCCGAGGACTTTTGCTGGCTTCTCCACTCTTTCATGGAGTTTGCAGAGTCCTGTCTCTTCTTGCAGTTTACATATCTGTGTGAGGCTGGATTGTTTTCTACACTTAAGTCAAAGTAATGTATCACAACAGATGGAATGCAGAAGCAGACATGGGAATGTCTTCTGTTAAATCAGACATTAAGAGATTTGCAAAAATGTAAATAATGCCACTTTTCTTGCTATTTTTGAAAATGTCATACTTCATAAAAGTGTTTATATTAACTTGGGGTTTATTACTGTTAAATATTTAAAAATTTCTCAGTTTTAATTAATAATACATTAAATACCAACTAGATAGGATCCAAATAAACAAAAGATTTTTGGGTCCTCAGTAATATTTAATAGGGAAAAAGGGTTCTGAGACCAAAAGAGTTTGAGAACTGTTGTTCTACTTCTCATTCATTAGACTCTCTAGAAGTTCATCTTCAGGACAAAACTTGATGCATGTATTATTACAGCAAATGCTGCAATAAATGTTTAAGGGCTTTAAAAGCCCTGTCACTTAGACAGTTATTATTATTTTTTTACACAATTTTTATTACACAATGTGCTAATTTTGTCATCTTGCACTTCAGTTATTTTTTCCTCATCACAAGGTGGTATTACTTATATTCCCTGTGTCTTAAAAAATAGTCATCATTTTTGCTGTTACTTTTCTACAAAGCCCAGCTTAAATGTACCCATTTTTGTTCTTGTTCGTGGCTCTTTTTTTTTTTTTTTTTTTTTTGCGGGGGGCGGGTGGTCATATTCATGGTTGTCTTGTTCGGACTCCTTTCTTGGCCTCCTAGCTAGGAAGTTTTTAATGATTACCCACTATTTTGAATATTATTGTTCAGCCTTTGTTATTTATGTCAGTTGCTTTGGACAGATCTGTCTCTTCAGGGAGCTCTCCTTTTCCTGTTTAGTCCAAATTCTGATTTCTGATGTTCTCAAAGTTCTTTGTTCACTGGACTCACATAATAGCAGGATATCCTAGCATTTGCCTTATTAGCTTGTAGGATGACGTTACTATAGACAGGGAGGGTAGAAAAAATACTTCAAAGGTGCAGTGATAAAAAGTTTTAAACAAAACAGCTTCACACTAAATTGCTGAGAGGTAGTGGTGTAT